GAAAAACAGAGGAGACACACCTTGCCCTCAACACGTCGGTCACATGACGCTATCCGAGGACCTCGAAGTTCGGATCCCGCGAACTTCTAACGCGAAGACCAGCAATGACCTCTTACCTGCAACGAGATCATTCTTTACAAGGGCACACGCTTCATGCAGCCGGGCGACAACCACGTCGGTTTTTTCCGGAACACGGATGTCCACCCGATCGGGAATGGACGGGTGGTGACGCACAAAGCCTGCGTTGGACGGGGCAGTGTCCTCCGTTTAGCAATAGGAACCCGGACAGTTCAGGACGCGAAGTTCGCCGAGATCCGTACTAAAAGTGCCCGTCCGAAGCCAAACCAACGCACCCACCGAAACGTGAAGTTCGCCGGGATCCGAACTTCAGAAAAATGCGACAGGCAGAGAGGGCGTCAGGCAAACACAGATTGGACTGAACCACGACCCGGAAAGGCTGCACTAACACAAAAGGCCGCTTGAGAAGGACAAGTTCGCCGAAATCCGAACTTCTTCTGATATGTGCAGCTTGGCATTGGATGAAGCCAAGTTCGAACGAGCAGCCGCGACAACATTGTATGAGTCCCTGGAGGAGCAATTGTGGATCAGGGTTTGAATCGTGTCGCAATCCACGGGGGATCATCAAGCCCAGCGCCCGTTCAATACACAGGCGTCACAGGAAGTTCACCGAGATCCGAACTTCAGGAGGCTGCGAGAGAGACAAACAAAAAGTTGGGGTCCTAGCAAGGTGTCCTAGCACGGTGCCAACGGGATTTCCAACAAGAGGGCCCGCCAACCGGGATCTCCAACGGGTTTCAGGAAACGCGAAGCTCGCGCGACCTTGCGACGGGGATCTCTAAGAGTGCTTTTGGCATCTCGCTACAACAGTGACCGACTATTTGGCACATGTTGATGGTGGACGGGCAAAAACCGATTACGGGCAGATCCTTCCGCGGTGATGGGTTTTTTCCGCGGCCCGCCCGACGCCAATGACATCAGAGAAAAATTAACGGAGAGGCCAGAACGTGAAGTTCGCCGAGATCCGAACTTCGCCGGGGCACGAGATGGCAGGGGACGGCGTCAGAGACAGACGTCCAATATGACTTTCGCCATGTCACTGAACCGAACGACGACCAGGGATTTGCACGACAAGCGCGCGGTGCAGCGTGTACCAGCAACCGCGGAGTCTCACACTTCTCTGCAGTCCTACAAATCTGACATGTTAGGCAGCACAACCGCATCTCGTCCCTCGCCGTTCTTTTCCCTCAAACAGAAGGACTAAAGACCAGTTCGGATGCGGCAACATTTGGGGATCCCCCGGGATGACGTCGTGAACCGAAGCCAAACAAAGCATTCAGTGACGATCCGTATACGAGGGTCTGCGGTTCGTTGATCGATGCACTCTCCGAAAAAATAGACATGTATTTCATCCTAACAAACACCCCTGGTCGTGCCAAGGAGTTTCCTATGCAGTCCCGTATGTCAGCCGCTTTCTCCTCAACCTCACGAAACAACGAATAGTTTCGAACCTGACCTGCCATCACCAAATCTGGCCGACCATCCACACGTTCAGGCCCACGCATCGGCACGAATTTGGACCCTTCAATCACAACCTCATTGCGCGACACGAGCACAACTACGTCGATGAGTTTCGTGCTCTTGTTCGAAGCAGCGATGCACAGAACTCTGGCGAAATCAGATCCGGACACAGTTAACCGCACACAGCAGTACGACACAGCTCGTGGAGAAATCCCAGGGCCATGGAGCGGGTACTGGTCCAGGAACGAGCAGCGACGAGCGCAGTCCACCAACTCTTGTTTCCGCGAGCCACCCCAAGTTCGTGGCAACGACCTGACGTTGTGGCACTCGAGGCGACTGAAATAGCGGCTAATGCAGCTTAGTGCTTTCCGCATATGGTTCAGGAACTTATGTTCGAGGACGGCGTCAGGCAGTGGAATGAGGTCCTCGAACTCCAACATATTCGCGAACTTGTATTGGCTTGCCCAAGGGCAGTGAGTCTCCATATTGTCCCAATTCCCCTCGCCCCAGTTGTCAAGATGCGCGTCCATGCACGGGACGACAGTCATCCATGGGTCCTCGTCGAAGTCCTCTGTGGTCGCTTCGTGGATCGTTGTCACACCGTTGAAATGCCGGACAGATTTCGCACAAGGATGAAAATGTTATGCTAAGCAAATGTGCGTCTCGACACTCATGGCCTGTGGTCTCGAGAAGATCGACTCGAAGATGCGTGGTGTCGAGAAGGTCCCCTCCATCACGCAACCTGTACACCACGCGCACATGCCCGACGACACACACGGGCACGGAGACACTCGTAAACGCGTCATGTCTCGCGATGTGCGACCCATAGCATTAGACGCAGTGTATGCCCCAAGATCCGATTTCGGGTGACCGGCTTCGTCGGTGTTCACATCTACCGGCCCGCGGGCCAGCCGCAAACACGCCCTGCGACATGTTCGCCTGGATCCGAACTTGGAGAGACTTCGCGGGAAAGACGAAGCTGTCTCCCAAACCCGACGTCCAAAACTGCCAAGAAGTTCGGATCCAGGCGGACTTCAATTTCGTACGAATAAAAAGTTGTGGCAATACACCGGTCGCCAGGAAGTCCACAGTCAGAACCCGCACCACCCGAAAGGTGAAGCACGCCGGGGTCCGAAGTCGACGGTTTTTCGACGAACCGTGCACGGGAAGTTCGGATCTCAGCGGACTTTGCATTTTATAGAATCCGTAGTCCGCCGTGATCCGAAATTTACGATTGTCTGAGGAACCGTGCACGGCAGGTTCTGATCCACGGCCCAGCAGGAACATCTCCTGCCACATGCATTGCGAAAGGAAGAGAGCAGGTTCGGATCCATGACCCAGCAGGCGAACCCGACGATGGGACGAGGAACCTTTGCACGAGAAGTACGGATCCCGGCGGACTTCGCATTTTTGCGAAACAAAAGTTGTGGCAAACACCCGTTCGCGAGAAAGGACACAGTCAGTACCCACACCATGCGAGACGCAAAGTTCACCGGGGTCCGAACTTGCCAAGCGAGGTCCGGATCCACGGGAGGGTGTTCGCCGGGATCATAACTTCTCGAGACTGCGTGGGAGAGAATCAACCGGCGGGCTACACATTTTTTCAAATACAGAGTTGTGCCAAACCCCGGGAGCTAGAAACCCACGTTCTGAACCCGCACATTGAGACAAGCGAAGTCGCCGGGGTGCGAACTTGACGTCTGTGCGAGGAACCGTGCAGTAGAAGTCCGGATCCCGGCGGACTTCGCATTATCACGGATCCGAGGTTCGCCGAGGTCCGGACTCGACGAGTGTGCAAGGAATAGTGCGAGCGAGGTTTGGATCCGCAGGCCAGCAGAAACCTGTAGTTGGCCGGGATCCGAACTTGGCGAAATTACGTGGGAGATACACACCTGTCTGCCAAACTCGCCGTCCTGCAATTTCTTGAAGTCGGATCCCGACGGACTTCATATTTTTCCACGTCCCTGGCTGTGGTTGCGGACCGGGGTTGAGAAGCGTGTTCGAGCAGCTGCATGAAGTTCGTCGGGATCCAGACTTGGCGAAATTGCGTGGGAGACATACACCTGTCTGCCGAACTCGCCGTCCAACAATTTCTTCAAGTTCGGATCCCGACRGACTTCCAATTTTTACACGTCCCAGGCTGTGGTTGGGGACCGGGGTTGCGAAGCGTGTTCGAACAGCTGCATGAAGTTCGCCGGGATCCGAACTTGGCGAAATTGCGTGGGAGATGCACATGTGTCTGCCAAACTCGCCATCCAGCAATTTCTTGAAGTTCAGATCCCGGTGGACTTCTAATTTTCCACGTCCCTGGCTGTGGTTGCGCACCGGGGTTGAGAAGCGTGTTCGAACAACTACACAAGCTCGTCGGGATCCCAACTTCTTTCGGTGTTTGATTGCGCGATCAGTTCAGTTGGAACGGCCACGTTCCGATCACGAGAACAGTGTTGGCGACGCGTGGGGTGGTGGGTGCTCAACGTTCGCCGTTCGACGACCCTACGTCCTCCAAAGTTCGACGTCCGACGAGGTTCGACGCCCGCCGAGGTTTGATGTGGAGCCAGGTTCCATGGGCAGCATGGTTCGATGTTATACGAGATTCGATGTGCAACAAGATTGTGACGAAGTGCTTTTTATTTGTTCGAAGATCGGGATCGACGTTTTCCCGATCGGTTGTGCGTTTCGTTCGCCGGTTTCGATCGTGCACATGATCATTTGCCTTGAGGATTCCCCTCGATCGTTCTCCACGACCAATTAGCACAGAACAGTCGATTGGTTGATCGGCTGCTCGGTTGGCGGTTGGTGTGGTGGTTGATCAACAAGCATAGCAATCGCCAACCGAGCTGTCGACCAATCAGTTGATCCTGGCAGATTTCCTGACCGATCGACGGTTCGGTCGAGGACTGTCAGGTGGGTAAATAAACAGGTCGCTCGCCGGCGGGTTGATCTTCGGTGCAGCACACACGATCAATCATCCGATCGTAAGTAATCTTCTCTCGTTTCGCGATTGGTCGGTTGGATGCGTTGTCCCCTTGTGCATTGGTTAATCATCTGTCGGGCAAATCAGCGGCGCTGTTGTTGGGGAAGCAAACATCATCTATCACCCGATCGCGAGTGGTCGGCTTGCGTTTCGTGATGGGTCGGTTCATCACGTGTGTGGTGTACATATTGTCATGGATCTGATCGACCATCAGATCACGAGTGATCTGAACACACATGACAGAAAGAACAACACACACGCGGTGGTAACGTCGACACGGCAGACACGACCAATCATCCGATCGCGGGTGATCTAATCGTGTTTCGCGATTGGTCGATGGATGCGTTCGCTGTATCGACATTGCCACCGCGTGTTTCGATTGATCATCCATTGGGCAAATCAGCGGACATGACATTGGGACAGCACACAAAACCAATCGGGTATGGCAAGTGCTCACGATGGCGTTGTGTTTCGTTATTGGCCACCACGTGTTCGATCCGAGCTTCCGTGCTTCGCCACTTGAGTACAGCACAAGCGCAATCGTTTGTTGATACTCTCCTCACACATCCTCACACATCCTCACACATCCACACACAAGCGGAATCGAACGGCGAACCATGACGTTCGTCCCTGACCGCGCACGTTCGCGCGCATCTCCCCGCGGAAAACGCGCGCGAACACACACGCACGCGAACACATATGCACAGACAGGCACACACACACACACACACACACACACACACACACACACACACACGCCGACACACGGCGCCCGCACACACACGCCCCTCAGGTACAGACGCGCGCACGATCCTGCCTCGCGCGTGTGGCACACACTTCAATACAAACACAAACACAAAGGAACACGCACTCGAACACACACACACACACAATGAAGCATGCACAAACACACAATCGCACACAAACACATACACACACATACGCCCACCCGCACACATGCAACCACAAAATCTTTCGATCTGCGCGAGCGTATCGTCACAAAAAACCTCCCCCGCACGCGCGCACATGCAAACATACATCCCGATTGCGTGCGGACTCACCGTGTGGAACTGCCGAATGAAGATGAGCGCGAACCCCGGCGTTTGTCGTGACGGCACTCTGTCCACCTTTGGGCGTGCACTTCGCGTTTGCTGGGGTGCTGCGTGGGGTGGCGGTCGCGCCTTCCGAGAAAGGAAATCGGGAGCGACGTCGAATATGACGTGGACAGCGACTTGGTAGGCGGAGGGACATGCGAGGGCATGTGGGGTGCATCGGTGCCACGAAACGTGCGAGGTGAAGAATGGCTGTGCCAGCTATGGCGCGCCAGCTGTTGACAACAGTGGCGGTGGGTGGCTTCCGTCGGGCAGCATCTCCCCAACAAAAAACGCAAAACTCATCGTCAATGCCCAGGGCACCGCTTGTATTTGTAGGCGCGCGGGACATGAGGCCCCCTCGGGCCTTCCGTTTCGGATTTTGGTGTAGGGTCCGCGCGCCGACTCGCGGCTGTTCGATCCGCGCATCGAACGGTGGCTGCACGTCGAAATTGTCGCGAGGGGGGCCTGGTGCGTCGAAATGTGACAAAAACGCCCCTACGGGCTGGCCCTTCTCGGGCGTCATTGGAAAACGGGCCCTTGTTCCGGGCCCCTCGCGTTCGTGTCTTCGGGTTTGCGGGCGCCGGTGGAGGGGGTCTCAGGTGTCGGCGGGGGG